GTTGAGCAATATGCAGTAGTTATCTAGACATATGAGAAATGTCACAAGGCAGTGGATGATAGATACGAAAAATTATCAGGGCTGACAAGTCTTAGTAAGGCTCATAGGAGGCAGAATTTTTGGGGGGCTGGTTTGGAGGAAAAGGGATTCATAACATGATATAACTTAGAATCATTTCAGTAGGGAAACCATAGAGGTCCTCTAATCCAACTAGATGGATGTCTTCTATGACATCACTGATAAATGGTTCTTTTTTTATCCTCTCCAGTAATACAGAATTCACTTTCATGAAACATCTTATTTCAGGTTCCTAGAGAGAATAGTATTCCTCATAATCAGCCCCAAATCAACCCTCTTGTTAAATGTAATAGAGCTACCCAAAGATTCCCAGTCCCTGTGTCTACCATCCTCAGGTGCTCCATTGTATTACAGACATGCTGGCTCGTTTATTACCTTGGCCCTTCTAGCTGTCCTGTAGGGCCTGAAGTAGCCACAGAACTGTGGCCCTGGGAAACCTCTTATGCTTATCCCAGTGCAGTAAATATTATCACCTCTTATGCATGCTGTGCTGCGGAGCATTGCTCAGTATACTGTGGTAGTGAAGAGATCAGGGTTCTGGAATCAGACAGACCCAAGTTAGAATCTTGGCTTTATCAGTTATTAGTTCTGAAACCTTGGGACAAAGCCACCTTTTCAATTCTCAATTTCTACATTGAAAAATGGGTACAATAATACATGCTCCCTTATAGAGTTGGTGTAAGAATTAAAGATGAGAACACATTAGGAATAATACTACTATTATTGTCATTGGTTCTGCCTTTACCCTTTTAACCTCTTCCTTTTTACCAACCTCAAATTATTTAAAGCTAGTTTTTGTTTCCTCTGAGTCTCATCTGACTAAATATCCCAAGTTCCTTCAGTACTGCCTGTCCAATGTGAATTTAAGTTTCTTCAACTTCTCAATTGCTCTCTTCTTAATATCCTATGGTGTCTTTGTGTTCGCTTTTGAATGCAAAGTACTAAAAACAGAATGTATTCCTGCAGGTGTGGTTTGAAGAGATAATCCTCAAAGGATGAAAAAATAGGGAATCGAAAGAAGGATATTCTCACCGGAAAAAAGAGTAATAAGCAATGGAAAAGAAACCACAAATACTCATGGCATGCTTATCAACAAATGGGCCTAACTGGCTAAAAGGGATTCATGGGGGGAAAAATCTTAAAGGGGCTGGATTGTGAAGTCCCTGGAACCATGATACTATGGATTCTATCAATATAAAGGAAAACCAACAAAATTGTCATTATAGAAGATTTACTTATCACTTGGAAGCAAGCAACCACAGTTTATGTAAGCTACTCACAAGTAGCAAAAAGTTACATTACAGCCCTTCTTTTGCTTCCCTCAGATGAAAACAATCAATAGCCCTACAATAGCCCCAAAGGTGATGACGAAAACTTGTTGGAGATGATCCACAAACCACACATTCCTTTTTGTTGTTGGCTGCTGCAATTCACTATGCTTACAAAGCTGGGTGACCCAAAGAAGCTACTTTGCTGTATCCTGGGAGTCATAATTCAGTAGCTTTACCTACAGATTTCCTTATTCCCAAGGCTTTCTTTTCTTGTCTTCTCGTCTTTCTTCCATTCATTCAATTTGTGGGATGCTTAGAACCTTTTGGAGTTCATGCCCTACCTCTGCTGAGTTTCAACTGTACAACTTCGAACAAATTACTCAACTTCTTTGTAACTCAGTTTCCTCTCTGGTAAAAATGATAATTTTTTGTAGGCCTTTAAAAATTAATTGTGACCATTCAATAAGTTAATGTATCTAAAATAATAAGAGAAACTGGCAGTAATAATAATGTTAATTTCTGTTATTTTTGGGTCATTACTATTCATAATTCAACAGATACCAGACACTTGGTTAGATATAGAGGATGCGGAGGCAAAAAGGGCAATCCCTTACCCTCAATGGTCACATTTCTTCTGATTTTGCACATTTCCTGAACAAAATTTATTTGCTACCATTTATTGTTTTCGTAACCTTGGATAAAATAATTCCTCTGAGCCTTTCCTCATCTGTAGAATGAGGATTAATACAATCTACTTTGAAGGTCTGTTCTATTAAATAAGACAAAATATGCACACTGCCTGGCACAATGTTGAAACTGAATATGCACTCCTTCCCCCATAATCCTGTGGCCCTACCCGAGGCTGGAGGACCCAAACTTGAGTTTAGGACCCAGCGATTTCTTCCAAAGTACCAATCAGGAGTATGAAGGTATAGTGGGAACGTCTTCTGGAAGGGCGAAAGCGAGGAAGAATGAGAAAGCACGGGGTAGGGGGTGGGGCACGGAAGGAGGCCGCCCCTGGACTACAACTCCCGGGATGCTCAGCAAGAAGGACTGCCCCGCCTCGCCCCTCCCAACCGGCACAGCAGGCGCTGCCCACCCCGTGGAGCCCAGCGGCGCGCGGAGGCTACAAGTGCCGCGGCTGGTAATCGGGGGACTTTCCCGAGGAGCCGCGCACGAACAGGCGCGCGGTGCTCGAGCCACACGTGGTGGTCAAGGCAAGGGTGAGTGACGGGGAGTGGGACCGGGAGGAGGCGCTGGGGCGAGGGAGAGACCCTGGGAGCCTGGCGGAGCGGCGGAGCAGCGGAGCGCGTCCTCACTCCCTGCCCAAGGTGCTTGCCTTGCCTCAGGGTATTTGGAGAACGCAGCGGGACTGTAGGTGCCCTGAGGTTTACCCAGAATGGATGGATTGATCTCGCAGGGGCCCCGCTTCCCGGTGCTTACTGTGCACCCCCCCACCCCAAACCTCGCACAGTGAGAGCTGGACTGATCCCGAGGTCGCCTGCCCACACCAGCCTCGCCCGTATTACTTAGTTCCAATGCAGATATTAATGTTATTAGTTAATGGCAGACGGAGGAGGCAAAGTGCAAAGTCCCCTCGCTTTGAGGTGCAATTTCATTAACCGGGCTCTTAACTAGAGAGACGGAGAGGCAGGAGACGGAAGGAAAGAGCCTTTCTCTGGTCCCATGGGATTATCCATTCTCTACTGAGGATGGAAGCCCCGGATTACGGAGCTGCAAAGGGAATCGACTGTGCAGCTAGTATATCTCCGATGGAAAGCAGAGTCTATCTTTTCTTTAAAGAGAGAGAGAAGCAGGAGAAGGGAATTAAGTGGAGATTTCTTTCCCTCTTTGTTATAAATGGGAAGTCCCATAAGGGATCCTGCCGCTTTTATCCAAGAAAGTCCAATGTGATGAGTTAATCGTGCCAAAAGTTAATCAGAGCACCTCATGTCTGAGGGAACTGCGAGATGATTTTTCATTTCAGGAATTGATCAAATCCATTATCACCACTTCCTTCCTGGAAATATCCAGCTGTAGGGATCTGTGTACACTTGCTAAAGGAAAGTTCTGGTTCAGTTGGATGTTTTTTTGGACTTGGTGTTTTTGTGTTTTGTTTTCTTTTTATGTTTTAGTTACAGAGAAACTTTAATAATAGGAGAGAAGTAGCTTTGGTAAAAACAAAACAAACTCTAATGTAAAGCAGAAGAAAGGACGTGGATTCCCTCCCCTCTTATTTTAAGTGAGTTGCCAGGTAGATGTTAGGTGAGCCTTACTTATGCATCTGTGTGGGTTACCAGCCGTTGGAGCTGTGGATTGTGAGCATAATAAGCCCCCATACCATGGGTTAGATCAGTTATTACTGGGAAGCAAAATAAGGAGGGCCCTTGCTTGAACTGCTATACTTGGTGACAGTGAAAAGTGAGTTTATTCCTTCAAAGGATGGTAGAGTCAGAGAAAGACGGGCAGTTTTCTGCTCAACCCAAAGTTCTATCACAGAAAGATCCCATGCTGTGCTGGGGGTAAGGACATGCCATGGATACAAAGTTCCAAAGGTAATCTTGGAACTTTGGAAATAACCTCTCACCTGCTTACTTCAACAGAACTGTTGACTCTCTGGGTTTATAATTTGTCTTTCACTGTCAGTTTTCTTCTAAATAAAAACTTTTGGATGGTCAGTTTGCCATGCGTGTTAGCAAAGTATGAAGAAGGAGAGGAACTGAGACCCCTTCAGACACAGTGAGCAAAGACTAGCAGACCTGTACCTAGAACAGGTAGGTGTGTTGGGGGGAGGGTTGTGGAGTGGGCTGGCCCCTTGTATTTGGGAGGAATCACACAGTAAGGCATGTTGTCTGCATACTTCTGGGTCCAGAACAAGCTGGTGTCATATACCACAAGGGCTGAGAATGAAAGCACAACGAACAAGAGGGAGTCTTGAAAACACAGGGCTGTGTGACTAAGATCATTGGATATATGACGTGTAAGGTTAAGAGAGGTGGCTGATTAGGCCAGCCATCTTTTACCCACTTCAGAGCTAGTCAGTCAAAATGCTGAGCCCCAGCTCCAATAAAGCCCAGCTGACGGTGACATATTTGTTCATCACTGGTGATGCTCTAAAGCTAATCTGTCTTAGAATCTGTTCTGAACTAAAGATGGTGTAAACGTAACTTAACTGAATTGTTGAGAAGTGTGTGCTTCCCCAGGTTCTCCAGAAAATCGCGGCTCTGCTAAAAAAGGTCCCTGCCTTTCTCATTTGTGTCTCTCTACAGGAAACCTGCCTTCTTATTTGAGGGATCCTGTCACAGTAATGTGTGAGTCCTTGGATAAATTTGGCTTGGTGACGGCAATGCTTTCTTCAGAGACACTGCTACTTCCTCTGTGCTCCTCTTCTACCCTGACCTAAGTTTCTCAGTGTTAATCCCGGTGATAAGTCAGAGGATTTGCCCTTTTCACACTTTCTTGCCACTAGGTATCCTCTCCTTTCGTTTAGCCCTTTTAGGACGAACTGGAGCTGAGGTGTCTACAGCTGTGGCTGAAAAGGAGATGGGGACCTCAGGAGTGATACTCTTGGTAGTGCAGCCTTAGCTCTTGTTGGGTTCTTATCTGTGTTGCTATTGGCAGAATTTTCAGGAGCTGCTGGGGGATGTCTGACTAGCTCCGATGGAGCTCCCCTACCTTGCTAAGAAGAGCAGCCAGGCAGTCCTGTGTGATGCTGGGGACTGGCATTCCGGAGGCCCTCCTGGTGGCCAGGCAGATGCAGCAGCCATCAAAGCTGCTCTCCGCTGCCAGAGACACTGTACGTCGACACCAAGAGCAGCTGAGATGGAAGGGTCTAAACTTAGCCCTTCTCCAGCACCCCTCTCCTCCTGTCTGCAAGACAGAGTTATTCAGACAGACTCCTTGCCACTAGGACCTCTCAACTCAGGAAACAACCAAATAACAGCAGGGCGGAAAGTCTGCAATTGCTGCAGCCAGGAATTAGAAACTTCTTTTACCTGTGTGGATGAGAATGTCAACTTAGAGCAAAGGAACCGATGCTCCCCTTCAGCAAAAGGGAGCAATCACCTGGGAGACCTTGGCTGGGGAAATCCAAATGAGTGGTCCCATGAGGCTGCCATATCCTTGATATCTGAAGATGAGGATGATATAAGTTCGGAAGCCCCGTCTTCAGGGAGGTCAGTAGACTATGGTTTCATCAGTGCCATCTTGTTCTTGGTCACTGGCATCTTGCTGGTGATCATCTCTTACATTGTTCCACGGGAAGTGACCGTGGATCCCAACACTGTGGCGGCCCGGGAGATGGAACGCTTGGAGAAGGAGAGCGCAAGGTTGGGGGCTCACCTGGACCGCTGTGTGATTGCGGGACTCTGCCTGCTCACTCTTGGGGGGGTGGTTCTGTCCTGTTTGCTAATGATGTCTATGTGGAAGGGGGAGCTATATCGTCGCAACAGGTTTGCCTCTTCCAGAGAGTCTGCAAAACTCTACGGTTCTTTCAACTTTAGGATGAAAACCAGCACGAATGAAAACACCCTGGAACTGTCCTTGGTGGAGGAAGATGCTCTTGATGCACAGAGTTAATTCTGGTTGTGAACTTCTTGAGGGTCTGTATTAGCATTTTCTATGAAAACCAACCAACCAACCACATTTCTTAAAATTAACAGTGCAGTTTATTTGCTTGTCAGGAAATGCTTATTTCCCAAACCAACAGCCAGTGAGTGTTTTTGTTCTATATGTATTTTTTATTTACAAGAAAAGCGATGTTAAGATTCATTAAGAAACTACAACCAGCTACACCTGTCCTTCTAAAAAGCTGAGATTAATTAATCTATAACAGCTTCTATTTCTATAGCAAAATATTTGTAATAATCAGTGTACAAATGATTTCTTTTTCATGATATGGGGTATTATTCTTTGGACTTTAGGAATTCCTGCACACAGTAGGATCAATTAATAGCTTATTTTGTGAAAAAGAACCTAAGCACTAATCACATAATAAGGCTTACATTTAATTCTCAAAGGTGCTTTTCCATTCTCTTGCTAAATTTTTTCTTCCTCTAATTTGCCTGAGCACTAAAATATAGGGTTTTGAATTTGAATATTTTGAAGCTTGAGGATGTTGATTATTTTTAAAAATGCAAGAACACATATGTTGTATTTAAAGTTATTCCTCTGCTCAGAAGTGGTACTAAGTCATTAGAATAAACTTTCTAGTAAAAGAAAAATATATAAATCATTATTAGATCAATCTGAATTTAACCCAGAATGTTAGTGCCAGATATTAGCTGGTGTTGCATGCCCATTTTCTAGATAAAGTAAAATTAATTGCTTCTGTAAATTTCATTTTCTGTTTGTGGTTTAGCCATCATAAAGGTTATCCGAGCTCTTGAAGTCTTATCTTGTTCTCACACCAGAGAAGCAAAGCATAAGACCTTTTTAATATATTTCCAGACATATCAACCTCTAGGCAGGTCAGAGTCATGATTAGCTCAGACACACACACCCAGGTGATGTTTTGTTTTTGTTGTTTGGAGAAAAGGTCCAATACAGTTGCAGCTAGACTCTTAGACTTTTAGAAATTGGTATCACTTACTCTAGGCCAAGCAACAAGCCATTGCCCCAGGATGGAAGCAGTCCTTAAGCCCTCAGACATACATACACACATACATACATACATACATACATACATACATACATAAAAAAGGGAAGAGAGACACAGAGAGAGGAAACACTGATTCAGTGGGAACTGCATCCTCACCAAAGCTTGTCTCCTCCTAACGTGGTCTAAGTGTCTCTCTCTGTTCCTCATCCAGGCCCTCGGCAACTGTGATGCCTTGCCTTATGATGTTTACACTTGCTCGATGAGAGGCGTGATGGGCAAAGTGGTCACAACTTTGCAAAACACACACCCAGTGGCCACACTAACACACTGTCTCCATATGGTTCCGGAAAGGGTAGGAAATGCAGCCTCTGGGCTCCTGGGTGGATCAGTTGGTTAAGCGTCTGACTTCGGCTCAGGTCATGATCTCACAGTTCCTGGGTTCGAGCCCTGCGTGGGGCTCTGTGTTGACAGCTAGCTGAGAGCCTGGAGCCTGTTTCAGATTCTGTATCTCTCTCTCTCTGACCCTCCCCTGCTCATGTTGTCTCTCTCTCTCTCAGAAATAAATAAACATTAACAAATTTTTTTAAAAAAAGGAAATGCAGCCTCAGAAATAGCTTGCATTTTGCAAATAATCCTTGAGGTGTTTCCATCCTCCCACTGCAAGAGCTCTTTTAATTTCCACTTACTGTATTACCGGGACCTTACAGAGGACTGGAACTTGGAATTTGGGGTGGGAGGGCAGAGAAGGGTAAGTGAGAACATGATTTCTTTATAGATTCTAAAGGTTAATTCTAATGCCTGAAGTTTTTGTTATTGAGGACTGGAATATGTGGGTGACTTTGGCTGGCTGAGTGTGTGAGTCAGGATGTTTATGTGAATGAGCTCCTGTGGCTGTCAGAGATTGATTTGACAAGTTAGGTACACTGCGTGTTACTAAGGGTTAAGATGAAATGCAAAAAGGTAGGATCAGAGGATAGTAAAAATAGGGCAGGCATGTGAAAGGATTATTAGGTAAAAATGAGAATTTACATGGATACCAGAAGTTAGATGCAGCTGAACTAATAACTGACTTGGAAATAATTGGGACATCATAAACTTGAGTTTTGTTTTCTATTGCTGGTTCTTTGTGCTTTTTGAACAAAGTTTTTGTTCTGTTATGATTCTCATGTCATGGCTAATGTTGAAGCTGGTTTACCAGCAGGATAAATTTAATATTTTAAAGGTTTAGAAATTACCAGATTCTAACCTGCTTGGGGACCCACCATACATTAAGCTGAGGCAATAGGATAATGATATCTTTGGCTGGGTGAGTAGGTCTGAGCCGTATGTCTTTAAAAAAAAAAATACACTAAAAACATAACACTTGTTCTTAAAAGCTAAGAGGGATCACCTGAGTTTTGTTTTTATTGGAGAAACATGATTAATTAGCCAAATTGCAGGCTAAACTGAATTAATGTGCAGCCCGATTTTCAGCTCATGAAGGAAGACAAATTTGAGAATCAAGTGTTAGTAAGTCTTTCAGTTATGTAAAATTGGAAAAAGGAGAAAAAGCCAGAGCTTTTCATTTGGAAACATTTAATGAATCTTATAGTGCTACCATATCACATATAGTTCTATATATGATCTAAAGGATATATATTTCTCTCTTTATATATATACCATTATATCTGTATATGTATCTTAATTAGGAAAAGGTATGCACGAGGAAAGACCTAACAAGTCAGAATGTATTTCTTCCTTCTGTTCCTTAAAATTTTTAAATTGAAGTATAGTAATCAATGCTTACTTATTTCAAGATTATTTAAATATGTCCATTTATAGGACACATCTCTTTCAAGGTCCTGCTTATGTGATGGCAGACCATTACTCCAAAAAGAAGCAATTCAGAAAATCATCTGGACATCTCCTATAGTGCTGTGTTGACACAGCTCAGATAACTGCCTTAATCACCTTTCCTCCAGTATTCCCTTGTATAGTCCGAGTCGATCCTATCAGTGCGAGAATTCAAGATAAGGATTACCTAAAGTCATGGTAATACAAGCAACAAAAAGCCCTGGACTTTAGATACTATTGTTTCCAATCTGATACAGAGGCTTTTGGCTCAAAATATATTTATTTAGAAGTACTTTGGCAAGATCAGGTGATATGTATTACACACATTGAACAAGATGATAGCTACGGTGGTATTGGTCTTGCTTGGATCCTTCATGGAGATTATGACCTTAAATCTACCTTTTTAACATGATCCTGATTGTTGTCTATGAGAGTTTTTATTGCTAGATATGGAACAGCAAAACTTTTTCAGAGGTTCTTGGTTTAGGTCTTAAACTTTTTATCAGGTGTTAAAAAACTAAGCTAAGTCACTTTCCTTATCTTAAAAGAAAGCAGTTCATTGTTCAGCAGTGTGGTCCAAAGGGGTGAGTATCAGAGAGAAAGCTGACTTTCTCCATTACTACTGGGATCTACATGCTGATGGACAGTTTAATCCTCCTAACGACTTTATTTATTTATTTGTTTGTTTGTTTATTTATTTTTTAAATGTTTGCCTATTTTTGAGAGAGTTTGAGTCAGGGAGGGGCAGAGAAAGACAGGGACAGAGGATCCAAAGCAGGCTTTACTCTGATAGCCAGGCTCTCTGCTGACAGTGGCAAGAACTCACAAACCATGAGATAATGACCTGAGCCAAAGTCAGATGCTCAACCTACAAGCCATCCAGGTGTTCCTGATCCTCCTACTGGCTTTAATAAAAGACTCCTTCTTAGGGCTTAGATACTTGTCTGATACCAGTATCACATGCTTTGATGGCTGCTTAAAATATCTGAGCTTAAAATACCTCCCTCTCCTACTGACTTGTTTTAGGGACCCAATTGGACCAGTGCTGGCACATGTCCTTTGAGGTGCAAATTTAGACAAAGAGATTGCCCTACTAAATTCATTTGTGCCTTCCCTTTGTCCTCCAGTGTAAGGGAAGTGATTGAGTGAGCACTGTGCCACTGAATGTCAGGAATTAGGGTCTGAACCCAAGCAGCTCTACTTTTTGTTACTTCTTGTGACAGGCAAAAATTCTAGGCAAGAACATTTGAACATTTCAGCCTTCATCTATCATATGTGCAACAACAGACATATGTAAAACCTTACCTGGATTAAACATCTAGAGTTAGAGAAAAAAATGTTCTATTTTATTAGGAGAAGGTTTTTCAATCTGAAGGTCAGATTCCATTGCAGCAATTACTGCCACCACAAAAATGTGGTCTGACCAAAGAGATTCACAACCTTCACCAATGGTGAACCAATGGTTCACCTATTCAGCAAGATTTAATACAGCCAGCTAGATTCCACTGTGACAAAGGAATAAGACAGATCCTTACAGTTTTCTGTAATGGAGTTTGACCTTTCCCAGAACTGGAGATAAAGAATTACTACAATGAAAAGAATTATAATGAAGTCTCATTGGCTTTTCCCAGCATACAAGGGTTCATAAGAGAGAGAATTAACATATCATTGTCTTTCAGCTGATTTTCAGCTAGATCATTTTATGGCTCATAGTACTCCATAATATTCTCTCCTTTCAACTTTTATGGGCAGAAGCCTTGGGAAATAATTTGCCTGATTTGTGCACTGACACTGTACAAAGTAAGAAGTTCTTTTAAATATGTAAAGGTGAAATCAATAATCTGTGGCTTACATTTAAAAGCATACCTGTGGTTTATGTTTATTAATGTGTAAGTTTATGTCCACTCAAGTCTTTGTATGTATTAGGAGAATGTTTTACAATTATAGAACTGTAATATCCAAAGCTACTGTTAGAATAATTTTCTTATAGGAAACGTGGCATGCCTTAACATTGACTTTAAGGATTACAGAAGTCCTTCACAGGTCATGAATGAAGAATTTAGAATCAGCCTCAGAATGAGATTCCATAATTACATAGATCTCTTTTGGCTGGTCAGCATCTCACAGATGTTTGATTTATTTTTTTAACCATTCAATTTCAGGCTCATAAGAGTGTAGCATATTTAGCAGTTATTTTACTATGAATTATGGTTTTATTTCAAGTAAATACAGGCAGAGACAGTACATTCTTTTGCTCCAAGTTTTAGTAATTCTCCTGTGTTTTGGTAAGAGCCAGTCTTAATCTCCCACTGCCATCTTTATGCCTCCTAGCCAAGCTCTGAACAAGTGTTGTACAAGAATGCAGTGATGGATTATTACTATATAGTATATTGAGAGTTTCTATTTTGTGGTTCTCATCATGCCATTAATTTTATTTTTCTTGCCAAACAAGAAAAATAATTTGATGTTGATCATGTGTTTGAATATTCTAAAAGGGCAGTTATTAAGGTTATGGGCTTTTTCTTTGGGCATGTGATGCCTTATATGTTAATAGCAAGTGTGTCGTATCATTTTAAAATAAAACTATTAAGATGTTTCATTGTGTTTGTTAACTTTTATTTATCTGAATATGAATCTGTGATGCTGATTTGGTTGTTTAAGATTATATTTGAAACTATTTGTCCAAAAAATTAAAAGTAATATTTATCCTGAGTCCAATATATCATTTTTCTTGCTACCATATCATTGAACAATGTAAACCATACTTTATTATTTTACCTTATAT